CAGTTATAAGTCTCAAAAAAAAAAAATTCTGTAACAAATCAAATACAGATTTACAACATCCCAGCTCGTTTCACAGTTCGTTTTACGATTTCCTCTTTCGTAACTCGTTTCACCGTGACGATGATTGCTTTAACAGGCATGAAATATTTTATTGTCACGGATTGCGATCCACTTTTGTCGCAGCAGCCCGGAAATCGTCGAGTCTTTCACGAGAGTCGTTCTCGCGAACTCTCCAACCCTCCCTCTCTGCTTTTTTCCAATCGAAGGAGATCGAAAAATGATTACGCGCCGAAACTTTTCCACTTTGGATGGTGAACTTTAAAATAAGCTGACCGTTAGTTCTCGTTAATATGTACATAATTCGGCTCCAGATGGTAATGAATGATCGACAATCAGATTGTCATAATCGTATTGATATTACTTACGAGCTAACAGATGTGAGTTTTCAAATCTCTGCTCACACAAAGAATACATACGTAATATGTATAGATGGATAATTCAATGCGTGCAGAATGACTCACGCGTGTATTTCAAACATTTATCATTTATCGGAAACTTTTATGGATACATACATCATGCATGATGTATGAAACACATTTTGACGTTTTTTTTCACATTTCGTTAGTTATTGCAACTTTGTTATCCGAAATACACGGTGTTTTGTTTTTTTTACTTTTGGGAATTATGATCTTATTCCTTATAAAAAGATTTCTTAGGTTTTTGTTTTTTACTTTTCCATCCGAGCTCTATTTCGAGGAATGAAAATATAATTATATATAATATATATTATATATAATATAATATAAGCTATATACTATAATTATATATTATATATAATATATATATTATATATAATAAATATAATATATAGTATTACATTTATATATAATATGTTATATAATTATAATTATAAATATTAATACAATAATATTGAATAATAAAAGATTGTAATTATAACTTTTTTTATTTCTTATAAAAAAAAGATCCGGCAAAAATTGTTCTTTTCAAACGTGTAAAAAAATGTGGTAAAAATTTCTTGCACTTTTTTCTTTTTTTCTTTTTAAGTTCTGAGTTTTCCAGCAAATAAAAACTTTTCCGCTCTGGGCTCGATTTTTGTTGAAACCCAGTTTGAAAATTTATCAAGTATGTGTTGGAACTTGGTTAATTCCAGACTGGACAGAAATAATTGAGTTTGGGTTGTTTTACATGTAAAAATAAATTGAAAATGTGAAATGAATGAACGCCTGGTTTCCGAGGAAATAAAATTTGAATATTAAATTGGACAGAGTGCGTGTAAAAATTGCGTAAAATGTCCAAAATATACGTATGTACTACGTACATAGTGTTTTCTAGAATATATCTGACGCGTAAAATATTATTTTATCAAGGTTCTATTTTTTAAATTATTATTATACATCTTAATTACTTTCGTACTTATTTTCGTACGCGAAACATAATTTACTCATAATAACAATAATCAGTCAAATTCACATGTATCTACTAAAGAAATTTTCAAACACTGATTTCTTTGAAAATTAAAAATTTAAAAAATTGAAAATTAGAAAAGAAAATATGCACCTAAAAAGTAGATAGGCATTCAAAATAAAGAAAAAAAAGAAAAAAACAGAGTACGACGTTATTGTTACAGACTACAGAGTCAGAGGGAGCGTGAATGAAAATTTACGAATAAATCATTATCACACGATGACGCTCTCTGTCTCGAGGCCAATTTTCATGTTCGATTTTCTCGAAAACTAAGCTTTCTTAAACAAAAGAGAAATAAAGAAAACGCCGTGTATACAGTATATTGTTTCGTAACATGTGGGATCCACTTTGGGAGCTGATTGTACGCCTAAAAGTAATGAAAAAAAGTCATGTAAATATATGTCTTATTTGTCTTTGTTTATGAGATATAATGAATTTTATAAACAGAACAAACTCTCTGTCCTCTGTCTTCCTTTCCATAGATCGCAATAGTTCGTAAACAAGAATTCGCACTGTTTACAAATAATACTTACTTGATATCTTTCGTTTTTTGTACTTGGTTCTTGCAAATGTGTGAACGTGAAGAGAGTTTTGCATATCTACCATACTTTTCACTGATGAAACTAGTTTTACCAGGGATGGTATATTCAATTTTCATAATAATCATAATTGGGATGAAGAAAACTCACACGTTATTGTGCATTCAAGACATCAGCACCAGTTTAGTTTAAATGTATAGGAACGCAGGAATAATTGATAAATTTTTAATTGGACCTTTTTTTCTCTGATGGGAAACTAACAGGCACAAAGTACGTTGATTTTTTGAGCACGCATTCACACGAAATATTAGAGGAAGTTCCAGTCGATATTAGACTTCGTATGCGGTTTATGCATGATGGAGCTCTGCCGCATTTTAGCCGAGTGGCTAGGCAATTTTTAAATCAACACTTTGCAAATAAATGGATTGGTCGTGGAGGTCCTATTTCATGGCCTGCTCGTTCTCCGGATTTGAATCCATTAGATTTTCATTTGTGGGGACATTTACAATCTATCGTACACGCAACATCGATTGAAAATGCTGNAGGAATGATAGAGAGAGAGTAACCAGATGAATGACAAGACGCGTGCAGGCTTGTCTTCAAATGCAAGCTGGTCATTTCGAGCATCTTTTGTAATTAAAACAGAAAATTCATTATATCTCATAAACGATGGCAGATAGGACATACATTTATATGACTTTCTTTCATTATTTTCGGGCATTATTTACAATCAGCTCCCGAAGTGACAAGTTATGAAACATCCTGTATATCTGAGAAATATCTAGAAATCCAATAGAAAACAATAATTAACAATGTTATTGTTACACGCTACGGTGGAAACATATGAATGAAGAAATGAATTAATCTCGCATAGTGGCGTTAGCTGCCTCGAGGGATCGTCACGGCCTGTGATTAGTTTTATGCTAATATTGCATACTGCTCAACGATAACACTCTGTTTATCTTAGATTACAGAGTGTCCATTCCGAATGCGTAACACGTTTCAGAATTCGTTGAATGAAATAGATAAGCAATGACTGCCTCAAGAAACAAGGGAAAACACTTTGAAATTAGCTCGTCACTAGTTAACCGCTGGCATTGAGGTGACAATTTACACGCTTGTACGTTATTTAGTGTCACTGATAAGCCAGCTAGTAGTACATTTGCAAATTTTCAAGTGAAATTTTTGTCACGTCGTTGTCAGCACATTGCGATATTATTTGGGACGTGTTTGTTACGACGTTAGAATTTTAACTCAAAATTTATGAATTGAATTTTCAGTTTCTTTTCTTCTTTTTCTTTTTCCTTTAGGAAGCTATCATTAAGATATCTGATCTCCGTTCGGGTATTTATTCTTCGTTAATTTTTGCGACGAACAATCGATACAACCGTCGTTGTATCGTTAGAAATTAATTTCTTCAAGTGTTAATCGAAAACGGTATCACTTCATCAAAGTTATCCATAGTACATAATTATCCTTTATTCATTTTCAGGAAGAGTTAATTGCACACTTAAGCGCGATTAATCGCACTTGAGATAATCGATATCTTTCCGTTTATCTTATCATTGTATTACCAGAAACTTGTTTGAAGTATTATATATAGACATCGTTGTTCAAAGAAAGGTATCAAGTTATTTGTTATTCAAACCTAGTGAAACTTCGGAATTTTCGTTTGCATCACTAAAACTAGAAATTATTGAACAAATACTGCAAATACAGATTCACGTGATTTCTCCTTATATTTGTGGAGCAACGCTAATTTTATTTGTCAATTTTACACCAACGTAGCAGCATATCCGATTGAAATTTCTCCGAATTTTCTTTTTTTCTTTTTCTCACGCTTTCGTCACTGGAACAGTGAGTCATTTTTTTTTTTTTTTTTTTTTCATCAAGCCGTTTCGAGGACTTCGAACAAGCACGTTAGGTAACACGTAGACAAATTCGCGACACTCGATCAGCCCCGCGAACGACCATAAACGAAGGCGTAATTCATGCTCGCCTAAAGTGGTCTTTAAGTTGATCAACGATATGGTCGAGAGGACCACTAAAGTGGCCTTCACCGGCTGAAGGATAAGATCATCGATTTCTTGCTCCATCTAGCAAGCACTATTTCAATCTAGAGAAAGATTTAACAAACAATGATCAACGCAATTTGTCCAATAAATATCTGAACTCTGTCTCTTTATAATGTGAATCCATAGCTATTCACTCTGGAAGGTGAATTCACTTTAAATAATTCTTCCTGATCTGTTCAATTCGAATGATTTTATGGTTGAAATTGATCGCGTATGATGATTTGCAAATACACGTTGTGCTTCTTTTTTCGTATTTATTATATAGGTTTATTATATATTATATATTATATTATTTAGGTTTCGTATTTATTATATAGCTTTATTATATATTATATATTATTTAGGTTTCGTATTTATTATATAGGTTTATTATATATTATATATTATATTATTTAAGTTTCGTATTTATTATATAGGTTTATATTATTATATATTATATAGGTTTATATTATTTTTTTATATTATTTAGGTTTTATTTATATTATATTATTAGGTTTTGAATTATTTATTTTATATCATAGGTTTTGTATTATTTATTATATTATCATATTATAGGTTTTATATTATATTATTATAGATTTTAGGTATTAGACCTATTAGGTTCTATATTAGTGATTATTAGTTATTATATTATTGTAGGCTTACATTATATTATTAGTTATTATATTATTGTAGGCTTATATTATATTATTATAGGTTTTAGGTATTAGGTTCTATATTAGTGATTATTAGTTATTATATTATTGTAGGCTTACACGTTACATAAAAATTTCATAAATGATGCGAACGAATATCGTCAATTTCGTTTGCACAATTACGATGAATTCACTCTAAATAATTTCCCCAAGATTATATGTTCCAGTTTTAATTCTACGGATAGTTGAAATGATCACAGCACATGTAATTTTGCAATTACTTATGCATTATACCTTGTTTTTTCTTTTCGTATTTATTAGATTCAGGCAGGTTCACACGTTACATGAAAAATCTGTGAAAATTCGAATTTCTATATAATATTAAATGATATTAGATATTACGGATATATTCTCTGAAACATGTTTGACATTTCTGAATCCCCAAGACTCAATGTTCGATTCGACGAAGCCTAATCAACCTTTTTCTAGCCGTGATAATTCACAGATTGAATCTTGCAGTTTCAGTTTTAACAATCGAATAACTCGTGCACTTCTTTTAGTCATTCTTCCTCTTGTACTTCTTTCAAACAATTTCAAACACTCTTGCTCAAACTCTCTCCTTACTTTTCGTTTTTTTCGTAAAAGTTCGACCAGAAGTTTTACAGAAGTTCGACCAGAAGTTCAACGTGGTCCAACCTTCCTATCTATCTTCTTCGAAGTAAGCTTCTTTTTAAATAACAAAAGATGCGATCTTCCTTTCAGAAAATTTCGTATCACTCAGCCCTAGAGGTTTTTCTCCTTCTCCATAAATCCAATCAGTAGATCAAACATCTACGCATGCTTCTCTTGTTTGCTTCGATACTAACTGTTCTTCCTCCATATTAACTGTTTCCCTCTTTTAATAAGTTTGAACGCACGTTTGTACTGACCTCGACTCATTCAATCTTCACGCTTTTCGTTAATTTCACATTTTCCAGAAATTCAATCAAAAGACATGCTATATTAAATGCTTTCTTCATTCGATATTCTCTCGCCGTCACAGTTTCTCACATCGTTCACAAATTCGTTCTTTAAAAATCGAAAGAAAGAACGACTGTCTTCCTTGCAAACAGATATGTCGGAACTCCTCGATCCTGGCTCCTCGTTAATTTCTCACCTTTTCAACACGTATGTACATACAGTTCCAGAATAAGAATTCTCTCTCATCATGCGATGCTTCTCGAGTTACACTCTCATTCTTCAAACGAGCTTCTACCAAGGTCGAAAGCAAATGTCGGGGATCTTTCTAAAAGAAAAATCTAGATTATTCTCCCTTCTAGATTGCTCTGTTCCTGATTCTTCTCATCTATAGAGATGGTCGATAAATTCAAACGAGCTTCTACCAAGATCGAAAGCAAATGTCGGGGATCTTTCTAAAAGAAAAATCTAGATTATTCTCTCTTCTAGATTGCTCTGTTCCTGATTCTTCTCATCTATAGAGATGGTCGATAAATTCGACTTCTCGTGTACGAGTTTCTTTTCAAAATTGAAAACAAGGACGATTCGTTCGTTGTCTGTTTGCAAATTTTAACTTGCACATGATCGACGCCGAGTTACTGTTTCATCCATCGAGAAAGCTTCTTTCCAACACTACGACAAAAGATTGTAGGCCTTTTGCCAAAGGCAGCTAGACAGAATTCGAGAAACCAATGGATCCAACTTGCTTCGTTCCGATTGCCTCCCAGTCTCTTTACTCTCGATTTAATTAAATTCTTCGAAAGTCTTTTTCGAAACATCCCGGAATAAGAATCAAGCGAGCTTCCCCTCGAAATCAGAGAAGCGCAGAGACCTACAGTGTTCTAATCATTCCCAAACTGTTCTGCTGCAAGTCACCGTGTCTAATCACTCTGTCCTCTCTCACTCGGAGAGTTAACTTTCTCGTCGAAACTTGCATATCCGGTAAAATTCTTCGAGATCGAAGCCGTGCCGCTCGGTTGGATGACCGACCAAGCCTGACAATATTAAGCCAACAGTACCAACACTGAGTCAGTAACAAGTTCTCCTCGAGAGTGACCAACGAACACTCGTTCATAGAGCAAATTCCAGTAGTTGGTTCTGTTCTCCCCTAGGGAGATTTTAATTCGCCACAAATAAGAATAGAAAGATATGTGCTGAGAGGAGAAGAACACTCTTTTTCTTTCAAGCAAACTTGAGACGTTGTAACGTCATCCCTGACCAAGTCGTTGCGACTGAAATCTTCTTAAAATTACAAGTGTCGTTCCTTTTCCGCGGAATCCAACAGTCGGTTCGTTTTAGACGTAGCCGTTCGCGTCCAGCTTCAAAGCGGCCTCGTAGGAAGGCAATCCTTCGTCGGAGATTTCTTGTTCCGCGACCTCGTTGCGTTCCGTCCGTCTCACCGCGGCGCTCAGGCCGAGCAACGTGGACACCATGGAAGGAATTATGGTCCCTGGCGTTTCCACGCCCTCGGGCTTCTTGTCGATGGAACTGGGCAAACTCCTCGAGTCGAAGATCAGGCTGTCGTAGGTTGGAGGTGGTCCAGGACCGGAGTTCGGTGTCACCGGGCACGAAAGCGCGCCGTACGTGCTCTCGTCTTGGTTCCCTTCGCTGGCCGATTGTCTCTCGCAGCACTGCAATGAAAAATATTCGTATTGAAAGAGGCTTTCATGTGTTTCTTTTTTTTTTTTTTATGGTGCGATGAGAAGTTGAACGATAGTTTTAGTCGTACGAAATATTAGATTGTAGGCAATGTAGAAATAGTATCTTGCGCTGGAATGAAAATCTTTTGTCTCAAAATTACAATATTTCCTCAGTTCTAAGTATATTTAGGTATAATCCAGGCAAAACTAAATAAATTTATTATTACTTGTCAATAACTTCGATCCAGCGTTATCATACCGACGAGTTCAAAGAGAAAACGACAAATTATTGTAAATATACGGTTTTGGCCGCTCGTTATGGTCCGCAATCAGTTGCCAGAGCAAGTTCAGTTTATTCAATAAATTACGGATGTTCGTGTAACTTGAAAATTAGAATCTAGATGGAGGAAGTTAAATATATTAAATAGAAAATTAAATACATTAAATATATTTATATTTATTTTTACATATTTGTTTAATATATTTAATATATATCTTGTTTAATAGAACTATGTAAAATATACTGAATAAGATGATTTAGTAGAATGTTTATTCAAAGGAAATGTTAGATCATATCATTAGTAGACTGCAGATATTCATACATAGCTATATAATTATAATTAGGAAATTAATAATTTCTTAGGTTGTGTTTCATTCTTGTCTAAAATCTCGCTTCAATGTACCGTACTGTTTATAAGTTTGCTTTAATCTAAAATGCAAGTAAAAGAAATGTTGGAACAGAAATAAATTGGAACAGAATCAAAGTCGAGCGAGCGTTGTTTTTTTTTTTTTGTTAGAATATGGTCTGCGATTCGAATGAAATAATCATACGATACGGATGCTAATTAGCGTCTGTGCTGTAGGCAATTAATGTCCAGATGGCTAACAGTGAACAATTGAAGGTTATATAATCGACACAGGAATAATTAATCTCTGCAATGCAACTTTTGTTCTGATGGAAGATTTTTTATCAATGAGTATTTTTGCGAATCATCTAAATTGATATACGTTAAAAAAATTAAATATTAGTATTAATCAGATAGGAGGAACTTGGTTAAATATCACAGAAATGTATATTTATCACAATTTTCCCTCGTTTTCAATCTTTCTCCTCAAACGTGAACAACTCTGTTAAAAATGAAATTTTTTCTTGCAATCGTTTTTCTAGAATTTAAATATGTGGTTTCAAATTAAATTTCTTTACCAGATAGAATCTGTATTTATTCAGCTCGAAGTATCCCTTGAAAATTTCAGTATCTCTCGAGCTCGGCGATTATTTTTATCATTGAGAAATGAAATTTTGTATTTTCATCGAAGATCCGCAGTCTATTCGCTGCCAAGTGTCGAGAGATCACAAATTATCCTACGTGCCAAAAAAAAAAAAAAAAAATCTCTATGTAAGTTCCATTTCTTCAAATCTACTTGTATAAAATTACAAAATTGCACAAAAATCCATTTCTTTCAACCTATTTATAAAATGACAAAATTGCACAAAAATCCACAGTCTATTGGCTGCCAAGTTAAGTGTCGTGAGATCACAAATTATCCTACGTGCCAAAAAAAATCTCTATGTAAGTTTCTTCAAATCTACCTGTATAAAATTACAAAATTGCACAAAAATCCATTTCTTTCAACCTATTTATAAAATGACAAAATTGCACAAAAATCCGCAGTCTATTGGCTGCCAAGTTAAGCTAAGTATCGAGAGATCACAAATTATCCTACGTGTCAAAAAAAATCTCCATATAAGTTCAAATCTACTTGTATAAAATTACAAAATTGCACAAAAATTCTAGTAGCTATCGGAGTGTCGAGAGAGGTTACAAATCTCGAACCGAAATTTTTACCACCGTGATCATTCTCGTTCAATTGAAACAACGTAACAGACGAAAGGCGAGCGAAGCGTGAAACGAAGATTCTCGATCGATAGGATCGAGCGTTAGCTCAGCCAGGTCAACCGCAAACGATTTCACCGCAATTGATAGTACCGCGCGATTGGCCAGTCATAAGCATAATCATCGCGCGTAATCACGTTCGTCTCGCGGCTCAGGCGAGATTAACGTTAACGGGGTTGATGGCGTTTTCATTCGAGAACGGGTGTTTTCCGATCGTGTTTCACCGATTTCAACCTCGATCTCTAGTTGGAAACAGCTACCGGATAAGCTGCCATTTCGTTTCACGGAAACGGCGTCGTGCAGAAATCGGCCGCCACCTAAATTCAGCCGTAAATTCAGATCGGATCGGACCGTAGGAAAGTTCGGCGTTCGCCGGTGTGCTATTTTAACTGAACCTTACGTAACCGAACCTCACGTGCCGTTTAAGTGCACCACCACGTTCGTGAACAAGGATCGTAACGAGCAGCGACGTGCTCGATAACGTGCGCGCTATATACTTTGCGTTAATATGCGCTGGAAACTCAAGACCGCCATTTTCACAAAGTGGCATCTTGCTTATTGTTGACCGGTGTGGCTGTGTGACTTGGTCACCGATATTATTTGCCCCGAGTCGGATTGTTTTCTTCAGACCGGAGTGTTACGCGCTGAATTAACATCTAGCTTCCAGTTTCCCTGAATTCATGTCGTTAGTAGTTGTCCTCGACTCGACTCGGCTCGGAGTCGAATGAAAGACATAAATGGAACGAGACTGCAGGAAGTCGCATCTTTCGTCTTTTACGAATCGTCGGTTTTTTCTTTTCCTTTTTTAGCTCGACAATCCTTGAAATCGGACAGTTTCGAGGAAACGGAAAATGTCATTTCATTTCCTCGAGTTGCAATTTTTGATCGTGAGCTGAGAAAGCGATAAATCATGTTATCTCTGTCATGAAAGAGGTTTCTTTGTGAAATTGGCAGAATCGCAAAGTCGTCGATAAAATTTGATTTCGTTGCATCGACAATTTCTACTTTCTACGAAGTTCTCCTGATTCGTCTACGAAGTTTCTGATTTCCTTCGCGAGGTAAAATAAAATTTCACGAAGGTAGATTGAAAGTAGAATGAAACTTTCGATTCATTAACAGCGACGCTGGCAATTTCTTCGGGAAATGAAATTTCGTAAGAGCGAATCTCTGAAATGAAATTACTGATTCGATTGACAAGTAGAATAATGAATAATTTCCTCCATAGTGTCCACGGGAACGAAATTTCTAAATGAAATTTTCACGAGTTCAGCCGTGTTTAATTTTAGAAATCGTCGATGAGTCAAAACTGCGAAAGACACGCTCTGCGAAAAAGGAAAAAAAGAAAAAAAAAACGTGACTCTTCTTCTTTTCACGTAATTTTCTCAATTAGTCAAACTTATCGAAATTCTTAGAAGTCGTCAGCAAAGTCAACTCGACTCGATAAAATAAAATCTCAACTTCTACTCTAACTGTCCTCTAAGACAGATTTTCTAATTTCGCGTCTCTTAATTTGTATTTCGGAATATTTCTACGATGAACATATTATTAATGTTATAAATGTTATTTAATACTTTTACAATTCTCACGATAAGAAATGAAGGGGCAGAGAATTTTCAAGTTTTAAAATATAACGAACTTGGTTTCTAAAAATTCTAACAGTTCGGATATTTGTTGTCTGAATATTAATGGGAGTCATTGTGCAAGAGAGAGAGACAGAGAGAGAGAGAGAGAAAGAGAGAAATTACTCACAGCAGCGTGTGCTTCCGTGGTGAAGACCTCGAGGCTGTGCACGTCTGGTTCGGTCCTCCAGTATTGCGGGTACTCTTGCGGTCGGTTCTTCCGGATGCTCTTGTGACAGCAGTAGCACATCAGTAGGACGACCATAATCACGCCGCTGAGCATCGCCCTGCAGAAGAAAACAGAGAGAGCGCCCGTGCCGCTAGAGTTGGAACAGCGTTAAACCATAGTCGAGGAGAGGAATATACATAGACACGGTATATTTATCACGCGTCAATCTTTTCCACCTGGCGGCTGGTGCTCGTTTTCCCATCACATCGTCATTATCGTTCATTTATCGATTTTAGACAAGATTCGTAGACGTAGGGCGGAGTTTTGTCGCGAGTACAATTAATAACTCTGCAACAAAGGCTTCAGTAACAGAGATTTTACGAAAATTTAAGTTTACCCAGAAACGAGGGTAGATAATGCAGGCAGATAATATTCAAAAAACACGTGGGGCACATACGAATTGATCTTGAGGCTGGTAGAAATTTTAGTATTTAAGAAGTATCATTATATTATATTATAATATTTATTATATTATATTATATTATATTATATTATATTATATTATATTATATTATATTATATTATATTATATTATTAGTATTTTAGTATTTGGTAGTTTAGAAATTCTGTTTAAATTTATAAAAATGAAAATGACATTCATTTTCTATATATTTCAACAAATTTAACAAGAAATATTTCACGAAATGTTCAGCCAGCTATCACAAGTTAATTACAGTATCACAAACTAATACGACATTCAATAATCACGAGTTATATTTCAGCTCAGTTTCTTGTAACGAGAATTTTGTTTGCTCACGAAAAGGAAAATTATTACTTCACCTGTTAGTGTAGAAAATCGTTTGTAGAAAATTTAAATTTAAAAGATGCAAAAATATGTAGAATCGTTAGAGATCCAAATGTTAAAGTAGAAGGCGAATCATTGCGAATTAATTATCTTCGTAGTGGAAAGTGGAATTATTTAGCCGAGCAAAATTATGACTCGTCATTAAACTGCGAGTTACAAACATACGTTGCGTCTGTTGGGAAATGAGAGTGCGAAAGAAATCTACAAAATACACACGAGTATCGCAATATTCAAAAATATATGAAATAAAGTTCAGAGAGCAACGTGCGACAGAAATGTTTTTTTTTTTTCTTTTCGCGCATGATATTTAGGTGTTGTAACGTGCGACAGAAATGTTTTTTTTTTTTCGCGCAGATGTCAGTCTATTTGTTACAGTTAGAGGATGAAAATTAATTACAGCTGGCAGTGCTGTGACAGGTAACAACCAACATAACATCATGAACAGTTGAGCCGAGTGAAATGTAAATTATGTCTGCCGATGTGTGTTCGTTTTGTGTCTTTGTTGCTTAGTTGCTATGGGAAATGCTGCACTGATTCCCTTCTGACTTATAATAAACTTTAAAAATTTATAATAAACGCTTTACGCGTTTAAAGCGGTTGGTTTATATGAAAATGCGATAGACGTTGAAAATCATCATCCCATTAACGTGTAATACATCACTGTGAAGAGACACGAAGAGCAAAGTTTGTTTGAAATGTTCTCGGAGACGTCAATTATTTTGCGATACATGTGTTCTCGAAAGATACCATACGAGCACGGTACAAAATATAATTTTTATACAATATTTCATTACGTGAAAGATAAATCCCATTGCAGGTTAAAAGTTGGAGAATTTGTCACTGCTCGTTTAATGAAAATTAATTCGAACCACCGGGTACGAAAATTATTATAAATAATCGCAAAGGATTGAAATAAAACATTTTAAGCTCACAGCTTGCTCTCCAATCAAGTCTCTTCCTCGCGAACCAATCATTCGTTCTTTTCGATGAAAAGATTACCAATCACCACTCTTTATACTGTCACAGGCAAAAAAACACCCTTCGAAATCACGGCACGCCAGAGTTGAGCATATTTTACTCGAACAACGAATGACGAATAAATCTGTCGAAATTTATTCGTAAATAACGAATAACGATTTTATTCGGGGAAGAATTATTCGTTATTTACGAACAACGATTTTACTTTAACTAAGCTTATTCAAGCACACATTTCATTCGTACAATATTTCAAATAAATATCTTCGAATAAAATTTTATTCGAAATATTTACTGAAATAAATGTAAAGAAAAAGAGTCAGGAGTCCTTTCTTCACAATTTTACTTTATTTAATAAATTTGCTTTTAGTACAATTGGTACAAATTTTCGTTCGAACATTTTGTCGGTTAATTTCTTTGCTTTAGGCAAGTTGGTTATCGTTGCAAATGAAAAAATTGCGAGAAAACTCTTTTTCTTTGCGTTGTTTCGGTAAATATTTCGAATAGAATTTTATTCGAAATATTAGACGAATAAAATTTGATTCGAATAATGGCCAACTGTGCGCCGGCGAGGGAATTGCTCGTTGAAGAATAAGTGAAAGTAACTCGTTCGCTGAATTGATCCAACTCGAATAAAAAGCAGCGCGAGCAAGGTAGAAAACGCGCGTGTCTAATATCCGCTAATGTTAAACTTGGCGAGATTGTTCTTGCGATAATCGCTCTCGTTCGTCCTCAAACTGTCCTTAATGGCTTTGACGGTTCTGAAAGTTAGAAACTTGAGCGGGTAATGGCGGCGAGCGTGAAGCGAGAGTATCCGCTCTCTCGGGGAGTCGTTTCACGCGGATAAAAGGACTGGCCTGCGATTTCACGGTTCGTCGAGGCGATTTCTGCGGCCGCGAGCATCGTCGGCGAATCGCGGTTCACGATACGACGACTGCGTATTGAAAGATCGCTGTTACCGTAATGCTGTTGTTCCTGCAATTATTACGGTGACGGACCCACTTCCTCTTGCGAACCGTTCCTCTTTATGAGTTTACCAGTAACTGGTTGTAACTGCGTGTGGTCGTTTCAGGATTCAAATCGTACACGGGAAAATTAAGATTAAGAACGCGCTTTTCTTCACGATTTTCGTGGAGATGGTTTGGTAAATCCTTTGACGATTCGAGTGGGTTTCTTTCTCTCTCTCTCTCTCTTTGTGATGGTTTTATATTGAACTCTTTCATCGTGATGATTAGAACGAGTCGAATTCAGCTTTAAACACTTAAACTAGCTAAATTTTAAGGAAGTTCATCGAGTTTCGACGTTGCACTTTTAAGTTTGGCAAATTTTTTTTTTAAAGTCCGCATGTTCTTGTCTCTCTTATTGTAAATAGTTGTAGACATTGGTTTTTAGTTTCTTTATCGTGGCGTTATTCACAATTTGCTCTTTCACTACAATTCCACATCAGGTCCTTTTGTTCGCAACGATTGAAATAACTTGAGTATAAGTATTATGCGTGTAAATTACGTTCGATTCAAAATTCAACATTTTTAAACATTTAAATTCAGCTATTTTTTTTTTTTTTTAAATTGACTAAAATTTGATATCGAAATATATTTTAAATGCATCTTTTTAACGTGTAACCAAACCTATTGTATTTTCACGCAAATTTTGTTAAAAATAGATTTCAACTCCTCTCAAAAAAAAAAAAAAAAAAAAACTCACACAACTGTCCAAATTGGTTAAGAGAATTTTTCCATTGTTTTCAGATTTTGATAAAATTGATCGAATGTTTAAGATGTCCCCTTCGTCGAGTGCCACGAGGATATTTAATGAAAGATTTTTAAAAACGCGAGAGCTTTGTACCAAAACTCGGTGGTATTTTCTCCTTTCGGGAAGTTACTCGTGGCTACGAAGCGCGAGAAGCTGAAGAAGACGGCGAAGCCTCGCTCCTTATGCTAATCGAGTTTGAGAAACACTGGTCTAGTGGTTTACTCAGTAAATACGGTTCTATAACATAGAAAGGAGGCTAGACCATCATGCTTACCGGATGTTATCTTTTCTTTGCTCTGCCGCGGGGGAGCCGCACGAAAGTTTCCGCGGGTTTTAATTAAGCAGAGAGGCGCCGCCGAGTGATTAATTCCCAACGATTTAAAAATTACGAACGCACGTGAAATTTCTTTCTTTCTCATTCTCTCTCTCTCTCTCTCTCTCTCTCTCTCTCTCTCTCTCTCTGTCTGTTTAATTCAACGTACGAACATTCATTTAAAATTTAAAGTAAAATTTACGTCGTTCGTTGTTGGCGTAACGCTTATCGATGAATTAATGAAGCTGTTGAAAAATACAAGTAGCTCAACTCGCACTGAAACGCGTTGCTATTAATAACAGGATCGGAAAATATTGAAGAAATGATTTCAACACGCGAGGCGGGGTTTGTTTGTTGAGAGAGACAGCCGAAACGAATTTTTCCAGAGTCGCGCGAATAAGTATAATTCGAAATGAAGTATCTGTCTAGCGATGAGAGTTTGTCGGGAATCTGTAGCAACATTGGAGATAATTCCTTTGCAATTTCGTTCGAGATAAATTCAGAACGTTTAGAAATAAAATTCGTAATGATAACGTTCTCTTTTTGTAGTTGCGTGAGAAATATTCCAAGTGGAAAAGTGTTGAAAATTTCCCAGCAATTTATATAGTAGAGAATTTTTTCGACTTTGGAATTAGGTTGCTAAATTATTGCAAAATAAATGGCTAGAATTTGGGAACTAAATTTTTTTATATTGCTCGACTAAACTTCTCACGATACTCTTCCCCAGAATATTAGAAAATAATAATCTTGCAATATTGGAAGTTCTTTCTAACATCGCTGCAGTATCTCACAAAGTTTTTTGACGATAAATTTATCAGAATTCGGTGGAAAAATATTCAGAAGACATTCTACAGAAAGATATTCACTGAATTTTTCACAATATTTATTATCGAATAAATATTCCAAAATCTTAGAATCGAATATTACTTTCCAATATTACCGTACGAAAATATTTTTCGATAAATTCAAAATCGAATTCCACAAACTGAGAAACGTATTGAAGATAAATTCCATTAAAAAGGAAGTACGAAATAAATTTTTTTTCATAGACGAACAGTGTTTAAATTCTTCATAATATTATAGAATAAATATTCCACGATCTTGAAACTAAATTCCTCGCAATAATGTCACAGGGATATGCAAAAATGTTCGTCGAACATTTCATAATCGAATTCCATAGCAAACTAAATAAAATAAATTCCATCTTTGCACATAGTGGAAAATCTCAATCTCTTTGAAATTCCTGAGATTTCAAATTCTCAGTAGCAGAAATTTATCAGAATTTTATAGTATTATTTTTATGGATAAAGTTATAATTATATGTAATATATTATTTATTTATAATTATATATTTTTTATATATTATAATATTGTTATATATATTATTTATTATTATACATAATAATTATTATATTATTATATTATTATTTATAATTATATATAATATATTATATTATTTATATTATTTATATATAATTATATATAATATTATATTATACTATTATATTATTATAATATTATTTATAATTATATATAATATTATACTATTATAATATTATTTATAATTATATATAATATATTATACTAATATAATATTATATTATAATATTATTGTATATATTATTTATAATTATATACAAACTTTTATTATTATTCAACCCAATTCCCTAAAAAGTGGAATATTTTTCTATAGAAATATCTTTCGCAACTTCGTCCCGGGAAATTTAAAAAAAAAAAAAGAAGAAATTTTCTGGTACAAGATTCTCAGCCCTCCCCCCTCCGGATGTAACAACCGCTCGAATAAATCGAAGACACGTGTTAAATTTCCCTCGAACGACGACGAAGAAGGCCGTGGAGAGAGTCGTGTTGGCAGAGATCGTGCGTCGGCGATTGAACCCGAACAGTCGATATTGAATATCGCGTATCGAAAGGCCGGCTACTCACCCGCCGAGAAGAATGTTAACATTCCCATGCAAGTCTGTCTCGAAGTGACTCGTCTTGCTAGCGCCGCTCGCTGTCGTGGTGACATTGAATCCTGGTAAAATTGCCACGTCCTCGTCTATGCTCGTGCCATTACGTTTGTTCGACGTAGCCTCGGCGATGCTCAACATCGTCATCGTTCGTCGAAACGTCGTCCTGAAACGTTTTTCTTTTCTGACGCGGTTTGTCCACACGGTTCGCGCTTTATACTAGATTTTGTACTCTCTCTCTCTGTGCGATATTGAACACACACGTAACCCTACGTCTTTACGTTGTCTATAAATATTTTACGATTCCTCGATTTTTTCTTTTTTTTTTTTACTCACCTGGGATTTATTTGTAACGAGCAAACTGCCGATTGTTATCTATTTATAGAGGATATATTTTTAAGCACGTGAAATTGCGCGTAATGCGAAGAGTGAAGAACCGAATGTACAATATATTCAGAATGTTGTGTTTTTTTAATATATTTTATACGAGAAATAATTTTCTATTTTTTTTTCTTTTAATTGTAGTTCTAGCAAGGTTCTTGTTTTTTTAATTATATTTCTAGAAATGTGAGTTTGCGCAGAAATCTGCGACCTGATAACTACAAGGTTTAGAAGGAATTTCCGCAAAGGAAAATGATAAGGAATTTCCGTGTTGGGTTTTACTGCGAAGTTACTTTCGTTCTTAAGATTCGTAATTCGCTGCGGTTAACATGTAGTTAGAATTATGGAAACCTTCTCGTTCGGTTAATCTTCTTCGTTCGGTATAAAAGATTTGAACTTTCTTGAATATTGCACGTTCCAAGATACGTTGATTCATAATGAATTAATTAAAACTAGAACGATTATTAGAAAATCTCCAAAGAAATATTTTAGAATATAATTCTCAAGTCCCTGTCAAAAATTCTTATCAAATTTCAAATTATGTAATTTCATTATATTTATGGAAATTCATACTTTTACGTATATGTATAATAAACAAAAATGGAACTCGTTCAAAAGTCATTATTAATCAATTCCATTTATAATTATGAACACAGAGAAAAAATATCGCGTATAATCACATGTAATCACAATTAATTATTCATAATAATTGTAACATATTAGTATTAATTATTCACATCATATCGTACGTGATCAGAATTAATTATTAACATCACGTACAATTTTCAGCGTGCTCAAAGAACTGAAAATTCACCAGGAGTATATTCAGAATTATTCATAATTGAATATATTAAAATAAAATAAGTATGATGTTTAATTCAAAATAAAATAATATTTTAATATTAATATTGAAATAAAACAATATAGTCAACAGATATTAACTGCAGTAAGTTAAGAAAATGCAAAAAGAAAAATGGAGTTGATCAATTTCATCATCCAGGCTCGTCAAGGTCACAATTAAATAAGGAACTGTTCTTGAAAGAAAAAAAGGAAAAAGACATACAGGGGACCTGTCGAAAATGTTACGGTGCCGCTGTTTATCGATCACACACGCCCTTTTCATACTTAAATCAATCACTTACCTTTTCACCCGTGTGTTCGAGTTGTAGGACATTTTCGTGCGTGTCCAATTCACTATGTTTTCGAGGTTGGTACCGTCCTGTCGATGCCTCCCTGGTGCATTTGCATCGAATTATACTTGGCCTTCGTTTCCTCGGTCAAAATGCTCGTTTTTCTCGCATACCACAGACTCTCTACCTGCGCAATTTAATTCATCTGTTTTCTTTTCTTTTTTTTTTTTCTTTCTTTCGATCTTTGATCCGCTGCCGGTCCGCGTTCCTTCGCGATATTTGGCTCCGTATGGTAGCGAGAACCAAACCACTTTCGTTTATGGTCTTGTTTGACATCCCTGTTAAGCTGCTTTCGAATACGTTTTTTACGAACGGACAGACTTTGCGAGCAAAATTGGAATGCTATGAAAACGGCGTAGCCAGGTATTGAAAAAGTTACGGAATCTTTTAATTGGAACTTTCAGTTTTTTTTAAATCACATTTTCGCAAGCTCCAATGAAAGGGAAAGCAAACCGATAAAAGAATATTGGGAGATTTGATTTGTAAAAATTTGAATTAAATTGGAAATAATTTGGGTTGGCAAATAATCTTTGGATATTAATCGGGAAGCTTGAATTGATTATTTGCGACAGGGAATATGAGAGCAGTGGGGATTTGAATTAAATTAGAAAATGATGTTTGGAAGTTAATTAGAAAAGAAGATTAAACGTCTAACAGAAAAAATGTTACGTTAAGAACTTACTATTATTAAGACAGTTATGTTATTAGAAAAAGTAGGAATTAATTAAATGTTAAATGTAGTTCATCTTTTTCTTTACTTTATTTCCCTATTATTCTTAATTTCTTGCGAACCACTTACGCAAAAGTCCAATTTCATAATATTAATTAAGAAATAGGCACTCGAGTCACTTGTGAAACTAAGAAGCTCAGCTCTCAGTATATCATTTCAAGGAAAAAAAGGATATTATTATCGATATTCACCGCGACTCCGTCACTCAATATAGAAACATTTTTTACAAAGATCGACAACTTTGACGTAAGAGAATTAATTATAACTTAATTAACATAAAACTAATAAAAAAAACCCAGAGTGAAACACAGAGAGCGTTGCAGAGCGTGTAAAAGCTATCACCTCGGAGAAACAAACTTTGAAATCGTAACGTGTCTTAAAATTCTCGTTATCTTGAAATTCTAATATTGATCAATATGAATTCTCTGTAAAATGTAGAAATTCCTACCGGAATAAACTTTGTTCTGATTTTATTCGGTGTCGATCCGATAAAGGGGGGAACGATAATGGTTAGTTGAATTTAATGACCAGTGAGAAACTAATAATCGCGATCGTGACGAAAGAAATCGTTATCGAGGTAAGGTGGATAGAAGGCTCTCGATTAAATGCAAGGAATTTCACGTGGGAATTGAAACAGCGTCCCAGTTTTATAGATACACGATCACCCAACGGGAAACGAAGAACGATCTTGAATACGAGCGTACGTAATTAACTCCTTGACATGGTATTAAAATAGCTAACAGTATCTCGCACAAAACAGATTCCAGTTTTTTATTTATTCATTCTCTCTCTTTCTTTCTCTCTTTAAAAGTTTTCAAACTTTTAATTTTAATTATTAAATTTCTTTGTTTTTTTTTTTTTTTTTTTTTAACGATCGTACATAGGTTCACAGGTCAAAGAACAAGATGATTATTTACATGTAATTTG